CAGGGATTCCTCCTGGGAAATGGGGATGGGGATCCCTCTCAGGGAGGAGGACCCAGGCAGGAGAACCCTTTGTTTCTCTTAAGTCTCTGCTTTTGTATTCTCCTTCCTTCCTGATGGCTCCTCATTTGTGGCTGTTGCTAATCGCTCTCTCTCTGCGTTGGACACCCTGTCCACATTCTGTTCCGTCAGCATATTCCAAGCCCATCACATGGACACCCTTCCAAAAACAGGAATTTTAGGCCCTCCTCTTTGTCCTTGTGATCTGGTGCCACCTCATCTCACGTTATGGAGCAGTATGGTATATGCCCCCATTTTCCCAGGCTGTGTGTGTATCCATAGACCTTGTTGTGTTAGACAGCCTGTCTGCTTCTGAAGGCTGAAGTAACTGTGTTTGTGTGACCCAGGCTTTTAGAAATCAGTTAACCCCTGCTGCCCATCCTGGACCATTCTGCACACACATATACCTATAAGCCAATTCCCAAAAAGCAAACCTTTAAATACCATTTTTAAGCCATCAGGTTGCACTGAGGTGGAGAAGGTTTGTTCTTTCTTTTTTATATTATAGCTCAATGACAACTGGCTGAAGGGAAACCTTGGTAGTTTTGAAGGATGAATCACACTTTTTAAGCATGTACTTGTATTTCTCAACTTATTTAGCTGTCACTCAAATTTTAATTGATGCAGTTGCTCTCTAATTAAGCTTGAGTGTTTCTTCAAAGGAGTATCAGATGCATTCTGTTGCATCTGTTGGGATTGCTATTTTTAGAACTATTGGCTAGATCTTCCAATGGGATCCAAAGAACAGACACCGTCAGCTCTTCTGAGCTCTGATGACCTCAGTGGGACAACAGGGATCTGTGCAGTTATCTATGACAATGAATTGCATTGTTTTACTAGGACTATAAAGAAGTACAATGAGAGAAATAATTATTTTTCTGCCATTTTATCTAATGGAGGTTGACTTTCAAGGATATGTTTAAGTCTGTGATGATTTTTCTTTTTTCTTTCTTTAATTTTTGACACTGGCAAATAACATGTTTTAAAATTTTTGGTGGGGAAACGTGAGTACCAAATTTATACCTCTGGTTAGCTTACAAATTGTGGTAATCGTGGGGTTTTAAGAATTGAATTCTGTAAACTTCTAATTTACTGATCTCTCTGTCCCATCCAACTTAGGTTTATCCAACACAAGTTTAATCAAAATACACTTTCATTCACTGTGATGAATATCATACATTAAAAATGCAAGAAGAAAGGATTTCTTAGGGTGATATCTTTATTGGAGCAACTATGTACTTGAGGTAAAGTTAGACAGGCTTTTGAATGTAAGATATTCTTTGTAAATGCACAGAAAATATACACACAGAGTAATCCAGTATCATTCTTTTTCTTTATTAGCATTAATTTGCAGTAACTTGGGGATTACTAACACTGTTATATTCCAGGATAAGTGTCTGTTCCTTCCTCCCACTGAAGCTAGTAGCTGGTAACAAAGCTCTCAATAATTTCAGCAGCACAGAATTTTGCTTGCAAAATAATTGAGCTTTTGCTCAACAGCTACAGTCCTCTTGGGCACAGCTACATGAGAGACTTAACTGTGCAGTAGCGTAGTTTACTGCACAGTAAGCTTACTACACGATAAACTTCACTAATTGTAAGTATATTTCCTACCTGCAAATACAAGTAACAAATTTATTTTTGATTAGTAATGACACAGTAGTGTTCATATAGACAACTGACTGCCAGCACATCTGCTCCTGGTCAGCCGTCCACCAGGGGGCAGGAGATTGTTCTCTGCCCCTTGGGACTGCCTGCTGCCAGGGCAGGCTCTGCCACTGGAGCCCAGGTGGGAACTATGTCCCCTGCCCCGGAAGCAGGGAGCTACAAGCCCCCTGCTCTGAGATGGCAATGGGGAGCAGGGGCTGGGAGCTGAGCATGGAAGAAGCTCCCTGGTTTGTTCCCCAGCTTGTTCCCATCCAGTTCCATGTTGGCACAGCTGAGTGAGGACCAGACTCCCCAGCTTGTTCCTCACCCAGCTCCAGTTTGCAGAGCTGAGCAGGGAACAGGCTCCCCATGCAGAGTTGGGGTTGGGAACTGTCCTGGTCTGAGGTAGGTCTCAGCCCCATGCTCCAATCAAGTGATCGAGGCATGTAACTTGGAAAGAGTTGCAGGGGTGGATTAGGTCCCAGCCCCCTGCCCTGATCTGCCAGTGGGGCAGTTAGTAGTGAGCTAGCTACTGGCTGCCTGCTGCCAGGGCTGGGACAATGTCCCCCTGCCTCAGCAGCAAGAAGCTCATGGCCCAAGAAGCTCAGGTCCCAGGCCCCGGCGCATCGATGCAGGGGCCAGGGACCTGAGTTTCTTGGGCCATGAGCTCCTTGCTGCTGAGGCAGGAGGACATTTTCCCAGCCCTGGCAGCAGGCAGCCCCCAGAGGCAGTATATAATGTCCCAGGCCCATATGGGAGACAGCTGTCTCCTGGCCTCGTGCTCCCTGCCAGCTCCTGAACTAGCAACTAGAAGAAGCCTAGAGCTCCCTCTGGGGCATCAGAAAGCAGGAGTAGTTTGCTGCCATTAGAAGCAAATCTGCTCCTACCTCCCTGCATGTGTAGATGCCTAGCTGGAAGCATTTACTCACGAGTTTATTGTCAAGTAAACTGATCTCAGATCAAATGCATGTGTAGATGTGCCCCTTATGTATGAAAGGATAGTTGTATTGCTCTGAGTAATTTAAAAAAAGAAAACAATTGCCATTTATAACAATAACTTTAAACTACCTCCCGCCACTATAGGGGGAGGACAAAACTATCAGTGTGAATTTCCTTTTTCTTTTGGTTGGGTCTTGGATGCTCTGGTGATACAGGGATAGATATACCACCAATGGTCAACCGTGGACAAACAGAACTCTTTCTAGATACGGTGTGTTTCCTCTTCTGATCAGTGAATGGTACAGAACATTTGATTTCTTAGGTTCTAATTCTCATCTCCCATCCCCTGCTCCAAATTTTTTAACTTTCACTTTCAAGTGTACTCCATGGAAGTAAATGAGGTTCTGTTTGCAAAACAAATGTGTTAAGTATTGAAAAGAGGGGGCCTTCATTTTACTTAAACAGTGGCTTTTGTGGAATCTGTATTCATTTTAGTCTCATCACTTCTTTTAGTTTAATCTGCATTTTTTACAGTGCAGAGGACTACCCTGCTGGACTAAGAGTTTGAAATCTACAGTGTAATCAATATAACCAGTGTAGCTATAGCCTTGATTTATGGATCTGTAGATTCATAGATGTTAGGGGCTGGAAGGGACCTCATGAGATCATCGGGTCCTGCTCCCCTGTATTTGGGCAGGAAAGACTGCTGGGGTCAGATGACCTCAGTAGGTTGCATGTCAAGACATTTTTTAAGATTTCCAGGGTAAGTGACTATACCACCTTTGGAGGGAGTCTGTTCCACCCTGGGCACTCAAATCTCAAAAAAGTTTTTCCTTTTGTCCAATCTGAAGCAATTTTCAATCAGTGTTTGTCCATTGTTTCTGGGGTGCCTTGGTGAACAGATGCTCCCCCAAGCCGTGATGTATGCCCCTCATATATTCATAGGATGTCACCAAGTCTCCTCTAAGTCGTCTTTTCTTCAGGCTGAACAGTCCTATGCCTTTCAGCTTCTCCTTGTATGACCTCCTCTCCAGACCTCTAAGCATGTGTGCAGCCCTCCTTTGGATTCTCGCAAGCTTCTCCACATCCTTCCTGAAGTGCAGCACCCAGAACTGGACACGGTACTCCAGGTGTGGTCTCACCAAGGCCAAGTAGAGCAGGAGGATGACAACCGTAGTCTTGCTTGAGATGCCTCAGTAGATGCATGTCAGTGTTTGATTTGCTCCGCCAGCTATGGCATGGCATTGGTGACTCATGTTCATTCTGTGGTCTATCATAACCCCCAGGTCTCTTTCAGTTGTGGTGCTGCTAAGCATAGCACTGCTGAGCCTGTAAGTGTGTTGCAGATTATTCCTCCCCAGCTGGAGCACTTTACATTTCTCCATGTTAAACATCATCAGGTTATGATCCTCCCATCTTGCAAGCCTGTCTGGATCAGCCTGTATCCCCAGCCTGTCCTCAAGCATGACCTACTCCATAATTTGGTGTCATCCATAAACTTTGCCCATACATTTTTAGCACCCAAATCCAAATCATTGATGAACATGTTGAAAAGCACTGGTCTGAAAAGCAAATTTTATTGTCACAGAAAATAATTTTTTTGCACTGTAGGCCTTATGTATTTTGATTTTAAGTCGTCTTCAGTCTGAAACTAAAACTGTGTATACTGCCTGCTCACTAAGCAGCCACATAAAGAAGCTTTTAAGCTAATTAATTAGTTCTGATCCATTACTGTAATTCTAAACTAATGCTTTCAGATTAAATAATAGAAACATAATCTGATAAAGTATAGTTCATTGTTTCAGTAAATACCTCTTAAAAATTGTAGTAAAGTTGTTTTTCTAATTCCAAATAATTTATACTGTATGTGAATTGTGTGTGTTGCCTTTTCCTACCCTGATTAACATGGCTGTATTCAATTTTCATACAATTTCTGAATTAATGTAGCCTAAAAAATAAATTTCATATATATTATATCAGTTTTGAATCTCTTGCCACATGTTAGAAATAATTATTTTGCCATGTGTAAAGGGTATTTCTTCAGTTCCACAAAGTCTTAAGTATGCCATGGGAATATGATTTGGGTTGTTTCTTGAATATGGTGCAATTGTTTTTGTTTTGGGTAAATGAGAAATCCTGTCTTGACACTGGCTTTTCCATGAAAAATTGAAATTAAAAGTTAACTTTAGCATTAACATATTGCAAAAAAATGCTGTTCATTTCAAATCATATGCAGCAGTAACTATAGCATGCAAGCAGTGTTATAATTAAGATTACAAACAGCTTATGTAAGTATAAGCATTTTAAAACACTTTGAACACGTAATGATTAATGATTGTTTTTGATCCTCTCCATAGTCTGCTATAGAATACAAAAGTCTTCTGGATAAACTGCATAAACTTGAGCAGATTCATATGAAGAGGCTACTTTTGGTAAAGCAGGAGGAATACTTTGCTAAGGCTTACAGACAGCTGGCTGTTTCCCAGAGAACAGAGCTTCATAACATCTTTTTTGCACAGATAAAAAATGCTATTTTCACAGGAGAACTGAAATTAGAAGCAGCTAAAGCATTAGTGCATGATTACTCCGAGGTACAGGTAAGAGCCTAAAAATTGCACTCTTAACCTCCTGACAGAGAATAACTTCCGAGTAATAGTTCATGAAATGTTTGTATCAGTATCTTTACTGTTAGAGTTCTATAAGGCTGTGTGACCATAATTATAACATTATCTTAGGGAAAAATTACAAAAGAACGGTATCATAATTTTGTTAATTTGTAATGCTACACAAGCAATGTATGAATACTTCTGCATAAGAGAAGTCTAGGAAACAGGATTTACAAGGAAGGGTTGGATGAACTGGGATTATTTGGTCTAGAGAAAGATCTCCTGAGGGAGAATTTGATAACAGTCTTCAAATATGTGAAGGATGCTTATAAGGAGGATGGTGATCAACTCTTCTCTGTGTCTGGGAAGAGAAGAAGTTAACAGGCTTAAGTGGCAACAAGGGAGATTTGGGAGATGGGTAAACATGTTTGTATCCTTTTCAAAAGGGGAGGGGAAGCAGGGGCTCTGGATAAGGCAGCAGCTGTTACACTGTGATCATTACATGTTCAAGATGTTGTACCGCTAAAGTGACTTACATCACCTTGAATTTGATGCTTGATAAAACAAGTTGGATTGGCTTTACTCCCCCTCCCCTTTCAAAGCTGCTACAAAATGTCCGTATCTCCATACCCTTAATTAAAGCCTATGATTAGGATCTCGTTTTTAGCTTCAGTTTTGATTTATAAGGTTTCTTCTTTGTTAAACGGTTACTTTTATGACTCTTGCATTAGTTTAACTTTAGGCCATTGTTGTGTGACTGGGCCCAGGCCATGAACAGGAGAACTTGCCATTTCCACTGGAGCTGTTGTTGAGCAGCTGGGCTGTTGCTGGGCAGCTGGCTGGACCCTAGCCATGCCCACCCCTCACACCAGATCTGGCCCACTACCTGGACCCAGCTCACAGATGAATCTGGCAGTCAGCCTGCAGGGGGGAAAGGTTGGGTGCCACTACTTTCAGCTGTAGTGTTACGTGGCTGACCCTGAGGTAGCTAAGCCACTTAGGCACTTTTGAAAATGTTATCTTTAATCTTAAAGTAAAATGGTTTGATTGCAGTAAGCAAAGGGCCTTGTCATGAATACACATTCTCCTTAGCACGGTTTCAGATCCCTGGGCACTGATTCAGAAAAGTCCTTAAACATGCACTTATAGCTTCACTCAAAACTTGTGCATATATTCAAGTGCACCTTGTTAAGCCAGTAGCAAATGCTGCTCAGTAAGTACGATGTGTTTTCAGACCAGAGGATCAAGATTCTGTTTTGTTTTATTGGTTTAATTATAATAATGTGGCATAGTCATCTGATTTAAAATACTTTCATTAACTGGCAAATAAGTTCTATGTTTTTTATTTGTAAAGACCATTTAACTTAATTCTGTTAACACACAAACCTGCTCTAAATGACACCTGCAGATGTTACTTAAAATTACCATAGCTTCTAATTTGATATGTTTGTTCTCATTCTTTTCTATAGGGGAACATTGAAGAACTAATGGATTTCTTGCAGGCCAACAAGAAATATCATCTGAATAAAAGATTTGCTTACAGGGAGTACCTAATAAATAATATACAGTTATGGGATTCACGGTCCTCTTCCCTCTTGAACACAGCAGCAAGCCAGATAGCAAATCTCATTAATAAAATGGAAAGGTAACTATCTCCCTATCTTAACTCTTCTAGGAATCACCATTACTGAGAGTGCTAAATGGCATGTAGTAATCTTCAAAAATCTGTTCATCTATTTTGCCTAACAGTGGTTAAGGGATAGAGTTGAAGGGTCTGCCCAGAAGATATATTGTTTGAAAAATTAGCTTTAGTAGAATATTTAGTAGTGGCTCTTTTTGTTATTCAGAAGATCAAACTGCTAACAGCTTTTCAAATTCTGCTGTCATAGAGTTCTGTGAAAGTCATACTCACTGTAGAGCTTGCTCCTCATTATACATCCTTTATTCATGCAAATAGTGCTCACATATGTGAGTGTGCTAGGGAAGTAAATGGAAATACTTTGGACAGGGGCCTAAATACATGAGAATCTTTTCCTTAGTAACAATACCTTTAATTGGCATGCATAAAAGTTTTCCAAAGGAAAGATTATCCCCACAGTTGACTGAACTTATAAATAATGTAATTGCTAAGGATCTTTACTAGCAAACAAACCACGTTGCTGGGAATATTAAAGAATAAATGTTGGATAAAATAGGAAGTACAACTGGAAATAAATTACAGAAAAATATTCATTTAATTCTCCAGGGATGTTATTTTACAGCATATCGGCTCTAGGCTGATTCAAATATTGTATTTGGGGATGGTGTAGAAATCCTGATCGGCAATATGGAAGATGAAGAATGTTGACTGTGCTGGAGAAATGAGTACTTTAAAATTACATGACAATATGAACCAGTTTTGGAGATAACTCTAGCTGGCACCAAGAGGACCCTAACATCTGTTACACTGGCATGCAAAGAAATTACTGAAAAATATGCCAGGAAAGTAGAATGTGCCAGTGGACAGGAAAGCAAATTACCAGTGTTACTGTTGATCCTATGCTTGCATCTTTATACGTTTTAAATATCTATATGGGTGCCATTTGCTAGCCATCTGGGTGTCATATATCTTAGATACAAATATAAAATAGATGAATGTACTGCAAGTCTTTCAGCATCATAACAAGAGTATGTAGATAAATCACTATTTAAATTGTTTATTTCCTTCCTGAAATTTTCTTGAACTGAAAAATAAAAAAGCAGAGTGTTTAGAAACTTAAGGAAAATCTAGTATGTGCCACAAAACATAATTTTCTGTTTAATGTTCCCAGCACAAAATTAATACTACTTCTTAGAAGCTTAATTTCTTTAGGGCTAAATAATTTCTTTTGTAACCTTTCTCTGCTGTTCTTTCTAGGTAGCCTCCTATTGCAATTGTTGTTTCTTTGTGAGTCATGTCTGCGATAGCAGCGGTTCTCAAAGTCTCACAGATTGCATACCACCAATTTAAAACAATACAGCCTTAAGTACCAACCAGCACATTTTTCATACATGGACACACACATAGACAAAAACACAAATACGCACGCATGCACACACACGGATGCATGCCCATACACATACACACACACACACACACACACACACGGATGCGCACATACACACAGACAGACACCCAGACATATGCACACCCAGACACACATTTACACCTCACAGTACCTCGCCCACTCTTGATCACTCTGAGGCAGCCCTCTTTCATTCCCCCCACACTATGAGCTGCTCACAGGTTTGTCTGGCTCCCCACTCAGCCCCTATTAGACTTATCCACTGCTGCTCAGCTGTGTCCCTGTGGTTGTAAAGATGCACAGGGCCAGGTCAGGAGCACCGCACCTCTTCAGGTGGGCTGTGGCATTGGGAGGGGTGGCTATGGGGGGGCTAAAATGAATTTTGGGGTGGTCATAGCCCCCAATCCCCCCCCCCAGCGCCACTGCCTGTCCACCTGCAGAGGTGTGGCACAATGCTCCTGGACCTGCCCCCCCACCTAGCCCCATTGGTGAAGGAGCCCCACTCCCAGCTCACAGGGAAACAAATGTGAAAGCCACAATTTTAAACTTGGCACCAGTTTTGTCTACCAGCTGTGAGACAAAAATGGTATCAAGTTTAAAACCACAGCTTTTGCTTCCCTGCTAATAATGATCCTGGGGTACTGGTAGTGGTAGTGGCCTCTGGGACCCCCCGCCTATGCCTGGGGGAGGCATGGGGGACATGTGCCTCCCTGGATTTTTGCATAGAGGTTTTCTCCCCTTGGGCTCGCTTGCCCTGTCCTCCCAGCAGGGCTAGAACAGAAAGATGTGGCCCCTCCCACTGCCCAGGCCCTTCTCGGGGCAGCCTGGCCTTTCCAGGAACACAGGGGGAGTTCCTGCCACTGCATGCAACCCAGGGGAGGTATGGGGAGCATCTCCCCACCCCCAGATTTGAGTCAGAGGTGGATGCAGGCTGCCCACTGTGTGCTGGGCTCTGCACTTTGCTGCCATTGCCTTGGAAGCTGTGTGTGACATCAAGTGCCTTTCACCACCTGGCGGGCACAAGATGTGGTGCAACCAGCCCGCAGAAAGCACATGGTGTCATGCATGGCTCCCAAGGCAATGGCAGTGAAGTGCAGAGCCCAGCACACAATAGTCAGCCCTCCTCCGCCCCACACACCAAACCAGGGTGCATATGCCCCCCATTCCTCCCCTGGGATGCACCCCTCCTCTGCACCCCTGGATGAGCTGCCCAGGGCTCTGACCATCCCACCACCTGTCCCAGGGCCTCATTCAGCCCAGCTTCTTCCTCTGCCCCACTCCCTCCCTCACTGCAGGAGTCTTGATCTGCCCTCTTTGCCCCTTCCCTCCCCCATGCCCCTTCCCCCCAAAAACACTTTCCTGCTGGGCTCTGCTCCACATGTGGCTGGGCTACATTTCTAGCTGCCTACAGCAGGTTGCAGCTGGGTGTCTGTGTGTGCCCCCCTCCCTCCAGCTTCTGCATACCACTCACAGGTCATCTGTGTACCACTGGTGGTACTCATGCCACAGTTTGGAACCGCTGTACTATAGGAATGTATATTCTGCAGATCAGGTACAGTATCTTCCTACGTCTGTACTAGGCTTGAACTGTTTTGTTGTTGTACTGTATTTGTAACTGTTTGGCTTCACTGGACAAAAGTGATGTCATAGCCTCCTCTGCAGCTTCCAAGGTTTGAATCCATCAATTTGATGTCAATTTGCTTTTAAGTCAGGCTGCACAAGTAATATCCATGAGAAAAGTAATTTGATTGTTCTGCTGACACTGTTATAATAGGGAGGCCCTTAATAAGAAGCTGTCATTCAGTGATTATCAACCAAGGTGATATGGCATGCTTGGATGCCATGAAATCCTTTTAAAGTACAGTGCCATGCAATGTTAGTATTGTATTGTTAGGTGTATTTTTAGTATTAGGGTGGTCATAGCCCTCAAGCCCCCCCCAGCACTGCCATTACTATTGTTACGATTGTTAGGTGTGCAAATACCCACACATGATTCACAAGACAAACCCAGAGATTTTACATAGGAATCCATAATGGCAACAACATGGTGACCTATTGTAGTCTTCCTAAATACTTTGCAGCAGAAGAATTGCTCTATTGTCTTTCCATATTTTTTTTTTAGTTTTTGGAAACGGGGTGCTGCTAAATTCAAGGGGAGGTGCCTTGAGTCTAAAAGGGTTTGAGAACTGTTCTAGTTAAATAGCTTCTAATGCAGATTTAACTGTGAATATGAATTCTTGAAAGTTGTTGTAGAAAGAATGAGGTATTGTTAACTTGGTAAGGTAGCTACCATTTTTTGTTTAATAATTGTTATTGTATTTAACAATTGTAGCCTACAAAGCAATGACTAAAGAGAGTTAGAAGAAAATATTTCAGGACCGGAAATAAGAAAACTTTTTGATTTCCAATCAGTACCATTATGGTATTTGCTTGCATGGAAGACCATATAACTAGTAAAAGTAATAAGGAAATTCTAATAGAAATGACTACTTCCCCTCTTTAACTTTGCATGATACATAATGGATGTTATAATGGTAGAATGTCCAGGGTTGGACAGGAATTTACTTCTCTTATCAAGACAAAGTCTATTTGACTTCTGTAAGGTAGAGTTAGTTCTCACTCCAGTGCCACAAGCATTACCAGTAAATGACTTTTTCTACAATCTGGGACATGGTAGTGGTGGCAGTGATTTAGAAAAGATGAAGTAAAGATGATTCCCTCAGTTTTTTTGATGGTGTAGAATTTTAAAATAAATTCTGCAAGCACCTTGCACTTGCAAACAAAGAAAAGTCGTCCTGGTATTTAGTGTTCCCTGTCTTGGCACATTAACTTTTAAAGGAATCTAGTCAGAGCTGTATGCTGTTTCTCATTCTTGGTATGCTTGTATTGTAAAACTACAGGACAATAGCATTTCACGTGATTCTCTAGAGTCTTCTGGCTGCAGCCAAATCTGAGCATCATACCCAAAACCCAGAAGAAGAATAAATCCATTGTAGGTGGGCTGGAATATCACGTTTTTAATTATGAAGGGATTTAGGGAATATTTACCAATTGGAATGTAAGAAATTTAGTAGGTAAAGTCTGGTCAAATATGCTAGCACTTTAAATTGCATCACTAATCACCCCCCAATTTTTTGCTTTACCCTTTAACGTCCATTTCTTTAGGTACTAATATAAATATTTTTAATCTACTTTATGCTGTTTTTAATAATGTGACTTGAATGTATTGTTATAAATGAGGTTAAAGGGGATGTTGGAATGCCATTTTTTCATATCTGAAAGAGAAACTGAGATGTGGACCCAAGTGATTAATCCAGTTCAAAGTTTACATAGAACAGGCAGCATGAAAATATTGTGCCTGTTGTTTAAAATGGATCTAGGAAGAATACTTAAAATCTAATAGAAGAACCAATAAGATCCATGTAAAAAGATAATGTGCTAACAGAATTAAAAAAAAAAAAAAGCTTTTCCGCTATTTATTTAGTGTATGTGGTTTCGGCATGTTGTTTCAGCCATCTTAAGGTGATGTCATCACTAGTGTGAAGAGCATGAAGGCCACCAGGTAGCATTGTAAATGGACATGAGTCAGCAAGTTGGGACA